CAAACACACAGGCCTACCAGCTTCACCTAATTTTAGCCGCTCATTGTTTGCTGCCTCTCGCTGGAGCCGCTTTCTCTCCTGGGTGCGATTAACTCCGCTTTCCTCCCTCCAGGGTACCAGTCGTCCTTCTCACTACCACGTACTATGGGATGACAACTGTTTCACCGCTGACGATTTCCAGCTCCTCACTTACCAGTTGTGCCACACCTACGTCCGCTGCACACGCTCCGTGTCCATCCCAGCACCTGCCTACTATGCTCATCTTGTAGCCTTCCGCGCTCGCTACCACCTGGTTGACAAAGAGCATGACAGGTGGGGTCCGAATATTTTAATGTTTGTATTTGTGTTTTTCATGAAACCCCAGAGGACTTGAACTTCTAATGACTAATATTGCCTGTACCCTTCGAAAACAACAGTTTCATATGATCACCTTTTTGTTTCAGTCAATCCAAATTAGCATTAATATTTTGCTGTTATCTCTGTAGTAGTTTTTGTAGCTTGATGTAGGCCAATAGTATGACTTTTAATACAACTACAGCATATGTCGTCCAATATGGTGGTTAAACCGCATCAGTGAGGGTTAAATAATCATAGTACCATAGGTTTTCTGGGGGCTAACCATTTCAGGTATCTCTGTATACCTTTGTTATCCTTGTACTTATTTTTTTTAATAACTTTTTTTTTTGTCATAGTGCGGAGGGCAGCCATGTCTCAGGGCAGAGTAACGGCAGGGACCCCCAGGCTCTGGCCAAGGCTGTTCAGATCCACCACGACACACTGAGGACCATGTACTTCGCCTAAACACCCCTCCACTTCACTCCACCTCCCAGTTACTCAGCCAGTCTTAGTGCCCAACTTCCTCCTGATCCGGAGTGACTCTGTGCTGGCGCAGCTTTGCTGAAGCCAAACAACGACGACGGCTGTGTAGGAATGTCCTAGAGGAGTCCAGCCATGTTATGTAATCTGAAACCAGCCAAGGTGCTCCGGACCTCCATCTCATTCTCCCCGTGAGCCGTGTCCTCGCCTTCTGCATTTTACAGACACTCAGTTTTATTTTTATGGGATTATTTGGGGTTTTAAAGGATGGTGGAGCAGCCAGTAATCAAAAAAAAATTATTATTTTTGGTGCATTGGTGGTAGAATCACAGAGGACCTGACCTGCTTTGTAACCTCATGTTGAGCCTAATGTTCATGTTTGTTCTTTGGCTTTCTAGAGCCTGTCTGTGTTGTTTCTCTGAGCAAATGTGTGATCGACGTGGCAGCATGTTAGCTTTGGCACCTTTTGTAAATGGGCGGGCTGCCTTAGTGGTTTCTCTTCTGTCTCCCTTTAAGCCAGTTCTGTGTGGTTCCTCAGTCTGTCAGCCAGACAGTAAGCAGCATAACTTTGCACTCTACCAACACAGACACTGAATGAAATCTTCATTTTTCTAAGCAGAGCCACGTACAGCCGTTTTGAGGCATTGTCGTTTGTCGCCTTATTGTGAGGCGAGGTGCATAAACAGAACTATATAAGATTCAAAGTCATTGCCATGAAATGGACTTTGTTCTTGTTTCTCTGACTATTTATGATTTTTCTTTTTCCTTTTTAACTTAAATTAAGAATAATTTACAGCAATAGTGTGTAGATGACCACAAACCTTTGGACTTTTCCCAGTTTTTACTTTTAAAGAGAGGGGAAAAAAACTGACCGATTCAGTTGTGAAGAACTCCTTCAGTGCAATAACGTGTTAAAATGGAGAGCGCAGGTGTGTTTTCATGAGTATTTGTGTTGTTCTTAATGAGATCTGGGAAGTGACAATGAAGATGGAATCAGGAATGTGCAGTATTTGACATTCTGGTGCCCATGTAGGACTGATGCCTCAGACGTGAGGCTCGGTCGTGATGAGGTCTGATTGTGTTTGAGGAGGTTTGTGTTGTTAAAGTGCCTGATATGTTTAGAAATTGAACAATTGGTGGGATGGAAGGTCTTTTTGAAACAGTTTGGGTGCCTCAAAACAGTCGATTTGTTAACAACACACACAGCACACTGGATTGTAGATGATCCTACCGCCAGCCACGTGTGATTGCTAATGTTTGCTGCGTTTTTTGTTTTTCTAAATCACAGATCTGAATATGAAAAATGTTTGAGGTCCTACAGACTCATCATGTTAACCAGAAAAAATTGTTTTCATGATTTTTACAGCTAATCTTTTTTTTTTTCTTTTCTTTTTTTTCGGCACATAGATGATTTGAACAGTAATTATACTTGACCGCTCTCGTTGGTCATGATGTTTTCTAAATGGTGCTTTTGGTCTCCTGGTTCCAGACCTCTAAATGCATTTCATTTGGTTTATTTACTAAAGAAAACCTTTACATCGGCTAAAAACATCAAAAATACACTCACTGTTCACCAACCTGGTTTTCCCGATGATGAAATGATCAAACTCAAGGCAGTAGCTTTGATTCTTATTTATTTTTCCCTTTTTTTGGTAAATGTATTTAACAATCTCAAACGAGATTATACATTTTGTGTTTGAGAAGGATTCGCTGTCCCAGCCTTTGAAATTCAGCTTTTTATTGCTGGTTTCTGTCTCATTTGTTTTCACAAACAAATTTGGATTAGTGCAGCTACAAAGGCCTTATTTTCAGTCATTTGCATGTTTAAAAAAAATAAATCAGAAGTCTGTAAACTCTGAGGGCGATGCATCAAATTTCTTTTGTTGGACCCCAAGAGTCTAAAATCTAAATATGTGTGGTTCATTATCATGTATGATGAAGAACGGTAACGTGTTTTTCTTGAAATATAATGAAATTAAATAAAAATGCACAATGCATCAGCTGCTATTGGCCCTGCTGACTGATCTCAGCAGCTATAATCACTGATGCAGGGCCAGTATTTATCTGGTGCATCCCATCTATTTTGAGCTAGCCAGACATGAAAAATTTATGGAAAGAGCTTTATTTAAAAGAAGAAGAAATAATGACAACAAAAACCAGTATCTGACAAGTTGATATAAATTGGCCCCGAAAATCGACTAATCGTTGCAGTTTGAGTGCCAAGATGACACTTTTCTCAAAAGCAGAGTTATCTTTACGTTTTGTTTTTCCCCCTGGAGGGTTTTTCCTCTATTTGGATTTGCAGGTGGTGATGTTGACATCTTTGTTTATTTTTCAACTTTTAGTCCGTCATTGACGTCTCTGCACTGTTGTTATTGTTGGACACCCAGCCCCACGCAGGCTGTTGCTCATCTCAAACCTTCAGTTTACTTTAACACACATGAAGCCTTCAGGTTTCATCCCTTGGACCAAACCCATGTGCCTGGTCGGGGTGAGTGCTGACGCTCTCCTTGCCACGTGTCACCAGAATCAGCTGCTATAAGAGGAGTTTTATTTAATATTTCAGCAGATAAACATAAATACTGTATATTTATACACAAAAAGCAAAAAGGATATTTTACTGCACTTAACAGAAATTCACGGGGGAGAGAAGTGCTCGTTAGGTTTCTTTATGTTTGGCCGAGGCTGTTTCTTAATGTCAGACATTACCAGCATTTCTTTTAGTTGTTTTTGTTTTGGGGGGGTTGTTTGCTTTTTACTTGAACAATAGCAAAAGTAATGGCGGGCATATTTAACGTTGTTTGCTGGTGCTCTGGTCGTCTCTGTAAGTTGACCTTTAGTCAGCCTTATTACAGGAACCCCCTTCTCCACTAGTGATGCCACAGGACTTCAGATGCCTTTTTTTCCCCTTTTAAAGAAAAAAAACATATTTATATTTACATTTAATAATGAAATACATGTCTTGCTTATTTTTCTAACAAAGTCCTATTTGAAGCAGAAGCCTAATAACTAATAACGTAGAGGTCTGCGATAACTTTCCAAATTTAGGTTTATGTATGTGATCGAGGTTTGTGTTGTCATAGAGCGATCAGATGAATCCTCAGCCCTCCGCACACTGTTTGTGTTATCATCTCAAAAGCTCATCTGAGAAGCTTTAGGACATTGTTTGATTTTTATTCATGTACTAAACCTTTTCTTTTGCATATTAATGAGAGGAGGCTTTATTTTTGGGGGGTTGTTTTCCTGTCCGTTACAGACTGTGCCTTTTTCTGATGGTGCTGGAAAAAAAATGTTCAAAGTGTGCTGAGCCCAGAGTCTACATTAATACGTATATATTAATACCCGGAAATACTGTAATGTGTGTGGAGACCTCTGACATGTATGCCAAGAACACAAAAATATGCAGAATTTATCCGTTTTGAGCTGACAGGACCAAAAGGCCTGCAGGGATTGGTTTATTGAACGGGCACTCGAGCACAACCTAAAACCAAACATTTTTCAGTAATACAAATCATAACTTGGGCGGGGGGGTTGGGTGGGAAGCACTCATGACTCGTAGGTAACGAATATCTCAGTGTAGACATGATGTAGCATATTTATTTATTTCTGAGGCGTACTGCATGTTGTCCTCGGTTGGCGTTTTGTGTGTTCATTCTTAAATGGACAGCAATAATGAAGCAGCTGTAAAATTTCTGTGCAATCGGTTTGGCCGGCCTTCCTTTTTCTCCGTGTTTGCGTGTCTCTGTATGAAAACTTCATTTTGTTTTCGAATGCGAAGTTCAGACGTTTACAGACTTGGACAAAGAGCTTTTGTTTCTCCACGAGTGCCCGTCTCCCATGTTAAGGGATTCCCCACAAAATGAATGAATCTTTAGATGCCTCTGAAGGTTGGCTGCATATCATTCTTGAAGGAAAAAAAAATTTGAGTTTGAAAATGTTTTTTTTTCTTAATTTATGATATTAATAAGTACAACTGTATGTTAAAGAACTTTAGAAGTTTGTCTTAACACTCACCTGATCCTGGTCCTAAGTTGAGCCTTTTTCTTTTTTCTTTTTTTTAATTTGTCATATTTAATTTTTGGAATAAATACTCTATGTATAAAAGTCGTGTTGCTGTCGTGATTTGAAGAAAGTGTCACATCCAGTCTTTGTTTCCAAACATCACACTGAGGCTTTTTGCAAAATCTGAGACGCATGAGTCTAAGGAGAGCTACTTCTGTCCTCCTTAGCTTTAAGCTGAGGCTGATTCTCCAATAATGGCTTTACTTCCACCACCTGACTGCTAGACTAAAAACTGAAGGGAGCCCTCGGTCATCAGTGAAACACAAAGTGCTGTTGCATCCAAATATGCATGGACTTGCCCTTTCTTTGTAAATCAAGGTGTTGCTCTTTGCAGAAACATTACAAATACTATGTTGTTGTTATTGTGATATCGAAAAATGCTGCTGTAAAATAAATCCCATTAGCTGCAGTCCTAGCTAAACTAATAAACTAGCTGAGCTCTTGGTATGCACTAGTATCTTACTACGCAAGTAATTAATAAGTAGTAATAAAAGCAGTCCAGAGCAAATGTTTTCAAAATGTATTTCCAGTTTTCTTTTAAACACGTTAGTATTTTTACAGTGCATTATTCGTGTTTGAGGTATTTCTACATCCATGCAAAAACCATGTAAGTAGTACTCAAACACACCTGCTTCCAGCATTCAGCCTGACGGCTCAAAATAAACTGTTTGTGCACACTGAGTGCAGTGTATACTTGGATACGATAAAGGGCTATGAGCTGTGTGCATCTCTGCACCTGCGCACGAGTGCGGTGTTCATTATTATTGACAGGAAATGTCCTGAAGTCGGTTATCAGTTACTGTCTGAAGTCTCTGCAGAGCACAAATACACACACTTTATAACTGTGTCACTACATCCATGTTTAATCTGTGTCTACACTTCCGGGCCGTCTGTGCTCATAACTTCATATTAGCTCAGCAATGTACAGTCTCTCCGCTTCCTGCCTATATGGTTTAACGTGGGTTTTTTAATTGCTTTATCTCTATAAAACACTTATCTTTAATTAAACAGTGTCCTTGTTGAACTCCGAGTGACATGAGTACAGCACAGTGTATACAGCAGGTGCTCTGAAGGGCCCGTTTCCTGCTACATTTATAGCCAAAAGACAGACGGAGTGCACCTTTAGCCTCTGAGTAAAGATAAACAAAAAGATAATAAGCTTTAACTTTATAACAGTCTGGACCTCCGTAGGTTACCATTCCACCTGAGCAAATAACTAAAAACAAACAAAACACCTTTTTAGCTATTACTGTATTTAAAGTGTAATGATAAAGAAGTGTTCTTTTTCATCATTAAAATAATAACTTTCATTTTCAAAAGCTGGTCCACAGATCTCAACCAATCCAAAATGGGCTTCCACAGAGCTCCGCCCTTGGCGCACTTATTTTTGCATTTTTCTAATAAGTTATTTCTCCTACTCAATTTTTCAGCATTTTATCCACCTAAAAAAAGACAAAACTTCATTTAAAATACATTATCCTCCTTTGGAGAGTTTTGAAACATTTATCAGAGTTTGTTTTCATAGCTTCTTATTTCTTTGGTTGTGTAGTTCTACTAGTTTGGTTTGCAGACTGTGTTTATATCTAATTGTTTTCATTTTCTCAGATCTTAATCACAATAAGACCTGATTCAGGGGGAAAAATAATAATTACTGTGTTTTTAGGAGATAAAACTAATCTACTAAACCAGATTTTTCTTTAGCTCTTATTTAAAGTCCTATTTAAGTTGGTAACGAAATACTATGGTCATTTATAACATCAGTTTATAAAATCAACAGTAACACAGTTAACACACATGACAATACAGAAATTAATTCATATCACTCAAACTCAGCTTTAAATATTTTACCTTAAATAAATTAAACCACTGACACCAACAGGAACTGACTCAGTCTCACAGTGGAACAACATTTCCTGGCTTTTCATTTTGTCCATATCTTTTGTATAAAATAAATACGTTCAGAATTTCTCTAGAACTTTCAAGAAGGTTCCGCTTTCTTGTATTTTTCAGTTTCTGGTTCCTGTTGAGGACTGTGTTGAGTCTCTTCACACCGCAGGATGTGCAGCTTTGCTGTGATGTTCCTGAAGCAGTGCTTTAACATGCTTCTAACGGCTGACGAGGACAAGTAGAAGATAAATGGATCCAGGCAGGCATTTAAGGTGCTGGAAAGCAACGCCACAGTCCTCCACTCCTGATTCTCTTTATTGACAAAGCCTACCACATGGGAGATGTTGTAAGGACCAAAACAGACGCAGAATACGATCAGTGTGCCAAGAGCCAGACCAATGCATCGCAGCCTCCGCCGCCTGCTGATATTTGGGAGACGGGACAGGATAAGGATTAGGTTGACGTAGCAGAAGCAGCAGATGATGAAGGGGATGCAGAAGAGGACGAGGAAGAGCTCGAGGCGGAACGGCAGCAGGATTGCAAGCTCTTTGTCGGAGAAATTCAGGTAGCAGCTAGGTGGAGGTGTGGCGGGAGTGCTGCCATTGGTGTGTCTCCACTGGAGGTAAGGCATGATGTAGACGACGATGAGGTTCAGAGACGTTAGCAACCAGAACATGACACAGGCCAACAAAGCATAACGAGGCCGCCGATGGAGGGAATGCCTGATGGGGTGGGCGACCCCTAGGTAACGCTCCACACTCACGGCGGTGAGCAGCAGGGTGCTGTTGTAGATGGTGACATAGAAGAGAAACCCAGTGAAGGGACAGAGGGAGTAGGGCAGCAACCACTCCATGTCATCAAAGGCCTCCTTCATTTTAAAAGGCAGCAAAGCCAGGAAAATCAGGTCGGAGATGGTCAGGTTGAGGAGGAGGATGTCTATCGGGGTTGGCTTGCGATACACCTTGCGGCAGAAGGTACCAAATGCCAGGATGTTGGCGGGAACTCCCATGAGGAAGGTGATAATGTAGACAGAAAGCAACAGATTGTATGCCATGGTGTCTTCTTAGGGACACACTCTCACAGACACTGCAGGGAGGAAGAAAGCAAGTTGTGATCAAGTAGCACCAAAGACTCAGAAACAGCTCATGCTTACATTTTTCTTAACTTTACATCAGAAAGAAAGAAAGCTTAATAGAAAAACAGCTAATATATTTCATCTGCCATAGAGATGTGAATGTTTATATAACTCCATGCATCAATATTAATAAGTCAGTTTATCTTGTTTGCAAAGGAAACAAGTCAGTTCTTGTCTTTTGCATTTGTTTGTTTGTTTGTTTTTTAAGCTAAAATGTTTAAAAAATACACAAAAAAATGAAGTTTTTCAGAAAGTCATCAGCCTGCTCTTTCCTTGCCACTACCAGGTAAAGGCACTGAACTTTGGCTTTAAACAGAACAAAGCAAGCAGCGGTCACAACAGCACATTATCTTCTCTAAAGCTTCACACGCTCTTTGACATCAGATTCAAACATTTGCAAATAATAATTTACGTAAAAGAAAAGAAAAAATCCACAGTGGAATATTCTAACACATCAGTTGATTGCTACCTTACCATCTAGAAAACATTTAAATTTAAAGATGCACAAATTTGTTTTTTCTTATTTAAAAGTAGAACTTCAGAATTAGTGTGGTGTATGAAGTGTCAAAGTTTTTTCTGGGAAACAAAAAAAAAAGGAACTGGAGCAACTGGTGAGCTCTCTGCTACAGAGGAACAAAATACTTTTTATTCTTCTTTGCAATCAGAAAGAAACTCCCCAAACTTTCTAACCACACAGACTTTTAAAGCTGACTGTTAAAAAGTAACAAACATCTGAGTCCATTTGACTCAGATTTACCTGCAACATCTTATTGTCAAAGAAATGGAGAAAGTGGGACAAAATTTCTGCATATAAAGACATCCAGAAATAAAATACGCCCCGTCCGAAGTTGGCTGGAGATAAACTCACCTCACTCAGGCTTTGAAATCCAGCCTCTCCATCACAGAGTGCTCTGTAGTGCTGCAGCTCTCTTCACCTCTTGGAAACAGACTGTTTGATCACATCACAAGACTGCCCCTAATATTGTCATCCTTCTGCGCCTACAGTCTCTCCTTCGCCAGCGGAAATTTAATAAACTTCTGGACATTTTGTTCTCACCATTCTCCAAACATCATCTCCCAGCAACCGCTGAGAAGCTCGGCGCAGCGTAGGTGGAAATGATTAATCAGAACTTCTCGTGTAAAAGGCCAAGGCACTAACAAAGAGAGGAGGAAGATTGTTTCCTCTCTCTGCTCTGCTGCGACCAGAGGAGAGAATTTACCTTTTTTTTAAAAGCCAATTTTTTTTTTTTTTTATATCAACACATTTTGGCAAAATGCTGCAGTTTTGCAGAGGAAGCTACACTTTCCTTTTCTTCATTTTTTCGTTGTCGGATCCCACAAAAAGATCTGTAAGTGCATCAAACTACAAGATACCTAATTTTGAAATCCAAGTCAAAATAAAAAAGAAGCCGTAAAAGTGCTTCTTTTTGAGCCACCCCTGATTTCTTTAAGTTTTCTTCAAGTTTTATCTTTCAAAGTTTTTCTTTCAGTCCAGTCCTTGTGCCTAACCATTTTCAGAGGAGTGTTTAGTTTATTTGTGTTTTGTTCTCTTGTTTTCTTTTAACACTGACCTATGAGTCATTCAAGCAGAAGAAGGCACCAAATTCAGGAGATGAACCAGTGTTGTGTTTACACAACTAGTTTTTAATTGTTTCACTAGGGAGCGCTGATCCATTTACTGTTTGCCAAAGCCCCATCAGAAATAGTCTCAGCTCTTAGGCTGCCAGTCTTAAAGGAGGGAAAAGGGGAGAAAAAGCAGAGGTGTGCCAAATTACACAACAACTGGTCTGAAAATCAGTTGAAGCAAGTGCGATAGAGTGATGAATCCAAATTTTGTACATCGTATTTCCATTTTATGGCACGATGACTGTCCAAACTCACAACTGTTATCCCAGCTGCTTTTGTGACAAGTAAAAGCAAGCAAACATTTACTGAACCATCCATTTACAAATACATGATTAAGATAAAGCAGCACTATTTCAACAAGGTCTTTTCCAGATTTAGTCTGTTGTCATTACTCTCACAGGGGCTTTAGTGAGAGGACCCCAAAACAGAGAGGAGCAGTTCCAATAAACAAAATAGTAGAGTCCAAATAGAAGTCTAAAAGCAAGACAAATAAAATCCACACAAGAACACATACACAGCAGAACAGCAGACAACTCTACAAAGGATGGGGGGAGGACTATTTATACACAGACTGTTAATCAGAGAGTGGAAACATCAGGAAAGAAATGAGACATATTTCAGGGTAATCATGCAGGAAGAAGGGGCACAAGAGATAAACACTATCAAAACAAAGCAGGGGATCAATAAGAGCTGCACTGAAATAAAGACAAACATATAACATGCATGAACATAACAGAAGAGGTGACACAGAGAGGTATATAATGAGTCCACAAACACACTGAAGACCCACGATGCTCTGGAATAAATGATAAACAAACCCTGAACCATCAATAAAACTACAAACCGAACAGGGATTAACTGTGGTGTCTGTGACAATTACATGTACATTAAAAAACATGTACAGACTCCAGTAATGACGATGGAATTTAATTCTTAATGAAGCAACTTGGGATACAACAAATTTCGATCTGATCTGATAACGTTGGAGTTAATTAATGATTTTTCAGCAATCCAGTGAGGTGGGCCAGTTTTGGGCCATGTTTAACACCTGGAGTGTAGCAGAACCAGCTCTGCTTGCAATGTAAAATATAATAAGGTGGGTTTATTAAAAATAATGAAAAATATTTTTTTCTAAAAATATGAAGAGCCTTGTTACTGTTGCCTAACATGAAGCTTGTCAGTCACATTCCTGATTGCATTTCACTTATAACTTCAGCAAAGTTAAAAACAAAAATATGAAACGCATATAATACATGAACAACGGCTGTAAGCTGGTTACACTTTTTAAAATGTTTCTAAAGCCTCACTTTTCTATTCATTTCCAGATTTACCTGAAAGTATGACTTTGAGTCATTTTTGATGTCATATACGGCACCAAAAATTCAATAATAGGGATTAAATAAACATGATAAAGACGCAGATGGTTTGGTTTACCTGACGTGATGTGATCAGTCTGCTGCCCACTTAGTCCTTCAGCTCCGCTGTGCTCTAACACTGGGTGTGTTTGTGTCTCAACCCCTCCCACCAGCCTCTCTTTTTATATCACTTCAGAGCACATCAAATCTCTAAACAACAAGGATTTATGTGCAGGACAGTGTCAGATGACCCCAGTCTGATGTGCATAAGTGGAAGCTGAACATTATAGGCACATTAAGACCAGATGTGTTTATCATGCGGTGACTCGTATACAGTAGCGCTGAACACGAGCCAAGAGTCCGAGTGTTTATTTGGAAATTTTCCACTAAAACCTTTGCATGCAGGTTATCCAAGAGGAACACAGAAGCTCATCAACACGTGTGTTTTCATTGTGTTTTAGTCTGTATGTTGTAATTTTTTATTTTTACTTTGCATTGTTTGTATTTATTTATTTTACTTAATACATATTGGTTGGAAGTCTGTTAATTTATTATTTTTTATTTATTAAACACAAAAGTACAGCATGATTTATAACTGAGATATGTATGTATTACATATCTCTTTATTTAAGTATTATCATATGTGTGTAGTGTATTTACTTAAACAGTCTATGTTCTTTTAGCATGCTATAACAAAACAGGTGTTTCCTGAGACCCAAGCTATTGTTTAGGAAGGATCTTTAATTTCTACTAGCTATTTGGGATTAGTGTTACCTGATTGGTGTAACTCTAAGCATCTTTTTTGAACGTTAATAACATTAGTAATTTTTAATGTCCTCATATGAAGACAACGGGTTTATTTACAGCATCAGACAATAAAGTCACCAAAGTATAGCACACTTTAGCCACAGCTGCCCTGGGGCAGGGCAGCTGTGGCTAAAGTGTAGCTTGCCTCCACCAGTGTGTGAATGTGAGAGTGAATGAATAGTGGAATTGTAAAAGCGCTTTGAGGGTCTCGAAAAGCGCTATATGAATGCAATCCATTATTATTATTATTATTATTATTATTATTATTATTATTATTATTATTATTATTACTTTATTGACCAGGAGGAAGTATAAGGTTCAGGATGAGGACACAGGGTCTCACAAAGGTGACAAACTAAAGAGAAAACTTGACCCTAACACTGTTCTGCTGTGAGGAGTGTAGTTATTCCATTAGAGGGATATGTGTCCTGTGATGAAACATATCTATTATAATGGAAATCTTTATTCAATCATTATATTTTTACAAAGTTGTTTTGCTCTTTTTAAGACGTCTTCATTAGTCAGTCTGTCAGTGCACGATGACTCACATCTCTGCTGAACTGATGGTGTTCATAGGTTTCTTGTTTAATATCCATGCTTACATGAGGACAGGTATTGTAGGCATCTAGGACTTTCTTTGTTTTCTTAAAGCGAAATGGACTGCGATCACTACAAGAGTCTGCCCCCGGATACACTTTACAAGCTTTCACTGAGTCCCTGAACCTTCCTCCGAAGGCAATGTCATCTATTTCCAATGATATAGTGATTTTGCTTTATCTGTCCAATAAGATGCTGACCGCTTTTATTTTACTGACCTCTCATCTCCAACTTTGTATTAAAGTCACCCGTGATTGATCACAAGTCAGATTTATTATTTTTAATTTTCTGAAAAGACAAACCACACAACACATTTGTAAACTCACTGCTTTATTAGTCAAGAGACTCAACTTTTCAGGAACTGATCAATTTATGCACAAACAAAAAATTTATGATGTTCATTTAAATGTAATTAATTTCAGACATATTTTTGATAATTAAAGTTTATCAAAAAGCTGTTTAAAACACACACACAGAACACACATCACACACGCCACACACACACACGCCACACACACACACACACACACAGAACACACATCACACACAGCACACACACAAACTCGTTTTCATATCTTAGTGAGGACATGTTTTTAACATAATGCTTTCCCCAGACACTTACCCTAACCTTGACCCTTAGACTAAACCTAACCATAATTTAATTGTAACCCTGACACTAAAAACACATTTTGAGCTTCAAACTTGAGGGGAAGGGCACTTTTTCCCAATAAGTGACTATTAGTCCCCACAAGTAGTGGGGACTAATAGTCACTTATTGGGAAAAAGGCATATTCTGTCCTCAAAAAGATATCTAAACATGTACACACACACAGGTGTAACTAATAACATTAAAGATTTGTTTCATGTTGCCGTGCTGATAATTCTGCCACTGAAAATCAAGGCAGCTGTGTTGTGATTAGCTTCACCTGTGAGAAATGTCTTATAATACTGAACACTTTCCAAAACATGACAGATTTTAAAGTGAGCTTTTACAGCTTGAGACACCAGATGGAGCCATTTAAAATCAGCCGATAAACATTCCTCATGAAATCTGAAATAAAATGTTTAAACATACACAGTGTGCCTGGTCAAAAACAATGATTTCACATACTATCCATACATCATTTTAATCCAAAACCAGGATGTTACAAGAATCAGCAAAACATTACATGTGACACAGCAGTACCTTACAGCTGTATTCAGTCTGCAAAATAGGCTTTTACATCATCTCTTTTCTTTAGAAACATTTGGTCTAAACAGGTCGTTAACGCCTGATGACACAAAGCTTTGAAGAAGCCAGTCAGCTCTGAATTAACAGACTTCATGTAGCTGGACAGTCAGTGTGGAGGAGGTTTACTGGGTCTGTTTGCAGAGGTTACTGGTACATGAAGAGTGGTCATATCAGACTAAATGTTTTTGCACCATTTCTTCTTTTGAATTTGTTGCACAGTCTCCTTGTGACACTCTCAGGTCATCTAAGCCCCAGGTTTGCTCCCCTCAGATGGGACAGTTGGTGGTCTAACTTTTGAAGCTTCACTGATGGCTTTACACCGGTACCGAGAACCCCCCTTGTGGCTGAACTGGCTTTGCCGTCCACAGATTCTTCCCAAGATGCCTCTTGACATGACTGGAGATAGCATCAGCATGACCACAGGGTCCAGGAATACGTTACAGGTGCTCGTCAGCATAGCGTACGTCCTCCACTTCACGTTCTCCCCCATCACAAACCCCACGACATGTGAGGCGTTGTAGGGTGCGTAGCAAACCACAAACACAGCGAGCGTGGACAGCGCAACAGCCAGCACTCTTCTTTTTCCCATGGGGGACAATTTCGAGCGCCACACCAGCGTGACGCAGCGCATCGTGCAAAAAGTTGACACAATCAGAGGCAAAAGAAACAGGGTGATGGCCATCTCCAGGCGGAGTGGCAGCAGCACGGCCAGCTGGGACGCACTAAAAACTTCATAGCAAACTGAGGAGTTATTACCTGTGGAAACAAAAAAACCCCCTTCTTCGACCATCACGCCAGGGCTGAGGTGTAGCACCACCAACAGCCACAAGACAGCGCTGATGATGCAGGAGTTACGAGCACAGCGCCATCTCTTGTAGACAATCGGGAATGCTATGCTGAAGTAACGACCCGCTGTTACAGCAGTGATGAACAGACAGCTGCCATACAGGGACGAGAAGAGGAAGAAGTTGTAGACAAGACACACGGGAGCAGGCAGCCTCCAGTCCTGAAGCAAAGTCTCCAGAGTCTTGACAGGCAGCCAGACTAACAGCCCCAAGTTGGCCAGACACAAGTTGAGGGCGTAGACCACGTTGGGTGTGGCACCATGTTTACGAGCCTTGCGCATGTACACAAAGAAGACGAGCAGGTTGGCAGGAAGGCCGAGCAGAAAGGTCAAGATGTAGATGATGAGAGCAATGCAGTCCTTGACAGCCAGCTGCATCTCTTCAGATGAGTTCACTAAACTGGTAGCACCGCCTCCAGTTTACCATGACATAGTTTGAAGGTCGAAGAAAAGTCCTGCCTGGAAATATGCACACTGCTGACCTTTTGTCCTCTCCGTTTATCTACAACGTCTTTAAAACAGCAAAGTCTCCGTTTGGAATCTTTTCCGAGGCGGTAAAGTGGCTGCAGAAGAGCCGGGTTTCTCTCGCCATCATGTGCACAAGCAGGTCTGAGGCACAGAGACAGGTGATGCCAAAAAAAAAAAAAGAGGTGGTGGCCACAAATGGGAGGATGTGTATGGGCACACAGGGGGGCGAGGTTCATACGACATCATGACAGAGATGCAGATAACAAGACGTACTCACCCATGCAGAAGCTGGGGGGCATTTAGCCGGCACCAGGCCACCTTAATTGCCTTCTCAGTGAAGGGCAACAGACAGTTAGCATCTGGGCCCTTAAGTGAAATGATTCAGAATAATTCAACCTGTCAGGAAGCACATGCCCATCCTCTTAAATTCAAGGCTGTGTAAATGAACTGGAGGGCCAGGCAGTAAAGTCATAAATGTGCTGAAAACCGATGGTTAGTGCGAGCAGAGGATGGGTTGGGCTTTGGGAAATGGTGATTTGTTTGTGACATGAAGGCACTTTGAACAGTTTTATGGTGGACGGTGTTTTCCTTATTGTGGGTGTTCTGTGTGCGCATGTGGGAAAGTGTGTTAGGCGAGGTGGGTGTGTCATGCGGGAGGCTGCTGGTGAAGAAAATGGAGCAGAAAATTCACTCAATTTTTTTTTTCTAAGAATGGAGCTGCCGCCATTCAAAACACAGCTATTAGGTGTTTGATCAGTCTATTGATCCAGTCTTTAAAACCAACGTCTACAGCGTCCAGTCTTCGGATATTTGATCTGAATGTTTGCAATGAACTGACGACACTTTTCCTGTATTGTTAAATGAACGTGACAGTAGCACAGCTTTTATTTACCAGTCTGATTTTGTTTTTCCTTTCAGGCCATTTCTGTTTGCACTGTCTTGCGTCATTTTCTCCGGTAGCGCTTCCATTTCTGTTATTGCTATTAATGCAGCACCATTACCTATTCGAATGCTCACTGTGTTGTAGTTGTGTTGCCAAAATTAACTGCTTGACAAATTTAAAATACTTCAGTTACGCTCTGATGTTTTTCTGAGATATTTCCTGGAAAGAACAGTTTAAAATGGTTCCAATTATTGGGAAAATAGGGGCATCACAGATCATGTCTACATTAAGAAATGGGAAATTTAACACAGCTGTGCAAAAATGGAGAGTTAAGCACTGAAAAGCTAACCAGTAAAGAGTTTATCTGTGTTTAAAATGAACCTTTCTTTCACAGAAAGAACTATTTCTGTGTAATTTGCACCTGGTGCAGTAATTGTGTCCTAGAAAGTAACTTCTTTTTTGTCTCACATGGGAGGGTTTTTTGGTTTTTTAGTGTTATTTTCATACAATTTTTTCTCTTATCTGAGCACATCTTACTCACCAAACATCTGTTAAAAACAGCTCACCCGAGATCATCTGGTGACTCATAAAAAGTCAGTGAATGATACAAACACATCCATCTGAAGACTTTACTACAGGGCCGGGTGAGGTTTATTATTTTAGGCAGGCTGTTTACCAGGTTATTTTATCAGAGTCAAAGTTCCCCTCATTATTGCAGCTTTTAAGCTGCCACCAGCGTCAGTTGATCAAACAGTGTGGCAAAACTAAACAAAGCCATTAAAGCATAAAAGAACCAAACAGACATGAAAACGTGCACTTTCACGTGTGAATTTTGGATAATTATATGGTGCCGGATATAGTTTGAAGAGTGAATTTTTACTTTACTCAAAAGACTGTTTAATCCACAATTTAGAGATGATAAATCAATCATTTCTAGCTGGATTATGATACACAAAAATGCAAATTAACCACACAAAACGGAGGTCAGGAGAATAATTTTACAAGAGGAGAAAAGTTGCAGCTGGAGTAAGTTTGTTTTTTTCTTCGGGACTACTTTGTGAAGCGAACTGTGCCCAGACTTTTACTGAGAGTGTGAGTAGATTTTTGTGTGTCCATTGCTTGTTTATGACAGCAGGGTTAAACAAATTAAACTTAGAATAACTATTCGATTTTTTTCCCTCAAAAACATTCAGACCATCTTCTCACTGAGCCAGCAGCTGCAGGTTGCTCCTCCCACTGGAGTTTGCCAGCGGGACCATGAGCGCCGAGTTTTTATTGTCGGTGCTGGAGGTTGATGTGAGGCGAGCGTGGGTGTTCAGGCTTCGTTGTTCCAGAGACAGAGCTTCCTGTTTTCTGGAAAGATCCTGCAGCATGCGGGAGTGATGCAGCTTCATTTTCTGCAGAGAGTGCCTGAGAGAGGATTACAGCAGCGAGCAGGGATGAATATCAGCTCCGGTGGCATGCATGCTCGAGAAGTTCTTCTGAATTTGGTTTTATGGTTTATCATTACTTTAAAACATCACAAATCCATAAAATGTATTTCTCTTTATATTCAAGATTGAAAGAGTGACAGATATATTTTTTAGTCCTATGTTATTTCAGCGATAACTCTATAACTTGTCTGTTTCTCTTCCATTAGATTGTTTATACACTTCCCAATCTAATAAAAAGCCACATATTCTATAATTGGACCTAATATTTATTTAACTGGACAAGCTTGAGATGTGATGATGCCACACATAGCATGATTTCAATAAGATCTCATATTGGTTATGGGAGAGTCAGACCCTTCTGTCTCCAGCACATCCCTCTGATTGTCAAGGTCTGGACAAGGCCTGGCACCAGGCTTGATGAGTGCATCACTTCATCCACCTCTCTTCTTACCCTGATGCTCCAACACTCCCAAACAGGGTTGAGAGTATATTACACAAACACATATATGTTTTGTGTAATATATACAATACTTATATATTATTATTATCATTGTTAATACTACTTAGTTTGGACACACAAATAAAAATGAAGACTCACTGAGCTTCAGAGAGCTTCTGCTTCAGAGCTGCGATCGTGGCCTCCAGTTGCTGGACTTCATTAACGAGGCCGTGCTGCACCTGCAAACCATCACAATAAAAGGAGAAAAGACTTCTAATGCAATCAGTGACACATCTGCTGCTATATAACTAATATATACCTCGTCTCTGCACAGGTCCATGTTAGGCCTGTTGGTCCTGGTCTCCAGTCTGGTGTGAGCAAGCTTCAGGTTGGCTGTCTTCGCCTGCAGATCTGCATCCAGCCCGTGGATGTCACTTTCCATTTCTGCCATTTCCTCCTCAGTCTACAGACGGATGTACAGGCAGTGGGAACATGCGATGACAAACTATACTCCCTCACCCTGCTGCTAACAGCTATTATTTATAAGATCTTACAGTTTTTATTTGCCACTCCAGCTCATGTCGTGCCTGCTCTTCATGGTGATTACGTTTGCGGAGAGCAAACTCTGTGGCTCTGCGTTGAGTCTCCAACTCATTCTGCAGCTACGAAATAAAAAGAAAGAAAGAAATTAACAGCAAATATGCCCCACCTACTCTAAGCAAGATTAGTGGACAATATAAGAAAACCAAAATAAAAAAAAATTAATCAAATTAAAGAAATCCTTTAACCATCTGCAGCGCCCCCGGGTGTTCAAACACCGACATGTGAAACAATGTTCTTATTAACATGTAAGTAAAACATTTATCCCATAGATTAAAACTGCCTAGAATATCAATGATTTTTAAATTAAATGTGACATCAGAAGATTTTTTTAACAAAATAAAAATGTAATACACACATTTAATACACAAAGCGCATCTTTGTGATTAATAAATGTGGCAACTACATATCTCCTCTTTAATTTAAGCTTTTAAACATGGATCTATGATGTGTGCATGAAAAGCTTTTAATCATTAAATAAACATTTGTCAAATCTGGAGAACACAGACTGAGCACAGAGAGAGGGTTGCACCAATATTTGTGCACAGTTTAATGAATATTAAAGTCATTAGGTGGTTATCATTTTTTTATTTTTTTTAATTAAATAAAATACTTGAATAGTACTTGGTCGTATAATAAGTCATATTCAAGAACTCCTACTAGTTGCAAACCACCTACCTGTGCTCGGGTGAGGTTCATATCCTCCCTTATTTGCTGGGAAACCTGCATCGCCTCATGGGCACGAGCCACATTATGCTGGCTGAACTGGACCCACTCCTGGGGGGTGGAGGAGCTACACCAAAGACAGCAGTTATAACAGTAGTAGCTGCTATGAATGATACAGTTTAAATAGACAGCGGTAACCAAGCATCACAAAAATGCATAATACACAATATTACAGTGACACTCAGTAGTTATGGTTTTTGTGTGTAAAAGAACAAATTTTGTATATAAATTTCATGTAAAAAGTATATATTACAAAAGCTTTATGAAAAGTTCTAACACCTTGTTGTGATTTGGCTCTATGTAAATAAAGCTGAATTGAATTTCCATAGTTTAGCAAATGAGGAGCAATATTCAACCAATCTTTTAATTATGATAATAATTATATCATACACTAGCATTTTATGATCTGCATACTTCATATTTCATGTACACCCTCATCTGAAGATTACCCTGATGGTATGCGAGTCGGGTTGGTCTTTAAGGAGATGTGGGGCGATTTTATCGTAAGTGACAGACAGGACATGTCAATATCCAGAGCATCCATCTTGTTCTGGAGATCAGCAGTCAGCTGGTGCCGCACCTCCTGCAGAATGCTTAGCAACCAGGAAAAAGGGAGGAGCTTAGAAGTTGGCTAAAGTCAACATGCATTTTCAGCAGTGAAAAACAGAAACTTACCATAGCTGCTCAAAGGCCCTGCTAGTGTGCTGCTGCAGAACTTGCTGCACTCTTTCAATCAGCTCCACCTCTTTCTTCAGCTGTTCGTCCACGGGGTCCGTTACCAGCTCGTGCCCTTGCCGTCCCTCCCTCAGTGTCAGGCATTCAGTGGTGACCTCCAGAGGAACAGCAGTGGCAGCCAAAGTTTGCTCGGTGTTCTCTTTGGACTGACACCAGCGTGAAGCCCACATAAATGAAAGTTATCTCAGAGACCAGGAGTAAAGATTTTATGAGCACTTGACAAAGAAACACCTAGATGTTTCTTTAAGTATGACACATGTGCACATGTACAAAATGGACAAAGGCACCTCTCAGTCATGCTGGGGCCATCTTGGATTTTGAAATCAAAGATTAGCGCGAGGCAAGCTGACATTTCCACTATAGGGCACAGTCTACTCAGGCTCTGCACATCCCAATTTATTGTCTCCAAACGAGAGCTTCATTTACAAAATGCAAATCAGGCTGTGTTAAACAAGACTTTAAACCAGGGACTGAGATCTTAAACATATTAGGAACATGTTTGCTGAGTTATTAAACCAAATAAAGAGTCAGGAGATTTTATCACATCCAGATGGTGTCACCACCTGCTGGTCATTAGAAAGAAAACAGGTTTAAGGCACTGAAATGTTGGCTTAATTTTTTAGACAAAGAAGTATATCAGCTACCGTATTTCCGTGTTTCTTATACAGTCTACAGATTCAACCTCTGCTTTTAAAAAGTCTGAATAAATCACCAGTGTCAGAGTCTCCATCTCTTCATCCACTTTCTGAGCACAAGTTTCCAACACTTCCTTCCACCGAGCAACATCCCAAACACGGTCACTCAGCCTACGACACGTATCAGTCTCATCCCAGCGTGTCTACGGAGAAAAGGTGCTTTATTAACAACGTGTGGAGAAAGAAAGGACATTGTTGGATGGTCCAGTGGACCGTGTCCTTTGAGCTCTGCCAACAAAACAAGACCCCACCTTAAAGTTAGTCTCGTTGCGTAGTGTCCTCCCTTCCTGTCTGATGACATTCGAAATGTGTCGTTCGTGTTGAGCTGTAGCTGACAGCTGCTGATTGTTGCTGGTCCACTCTGACACACTGCGGTGCAGGCCAGGCTTTGCATTTAGTGAAGGCATCATATTTCTGCTGAAACAAGGCCCAGATTCACTGGATCTTTTTCTATGTCTCTGTGAAGATCAAACACCAACACATATATTACCAGTGCAAAGGTACTACCAGAAAAAAGTGCAGTTACGAGTAGCAATTACAAACTGAGATACATTCATGGTTCCTTATTACAAAATATTGGCATTATATCCCCTGAAAAATCTGAATGATCATAAAAACTCATCAAAATTTTGCTCTTTATTTTGAATGTCTCCATTTTATTAAATATCACAATAGTAATTTGCTTTGATCCAAGGTAAATATTGCATTGTTTGTTACTCTGTTTTGTGTCAGTGAATATGTTGCAGTTAATCAGCTACTTTAGATACACTTTTATGACTCTATCTAAACTGCACACAATAAACCCAATAGTGTATTAATTATATAAGTGCGCCATCTGGAGCGTTAGTTATAATATCATTATGAAATGCTGACAAAGTAAACTGATAGATGTTATTACAATATATATTTGAATGAGTGTGCTTTGTGTTAATAAACCATACTTACAAACAAACCATCCCTGTGTATTTAATAACACTAAATGCAGATTTGAGATTTAACGGGCTGCCAGAAACAGAAACATTAATAAAACATCAGTGATAAAAGCACGAAAATAAACAGATACTACACTGTGTAAATACTCCTTTCAAAGTTACATCACCTCTTAGCAACTGCAAAAACATGTAAGAATATCAAGGACCTTTTTAATTTAATTATTATAAATAATTTGGATTGTGCAATCAAAATAATTCAGGCCAGGCAGGAAGAAAAGAGGAAGACAACAGAGAAGATTCATGGGTGGAGTAAAGGAGGACATGCAGAGGGTTGGTGTGACAGAGGAGGATATTAGGGAGTTGATGAGATGGACACAGATGATCTACCGCTAAAGGGAGCAGCTGAAAGAACAAGATGACACACCTTTGTGAAATATTAGGAATTAAGTAATTATTGGAGTCTAAAAGGCTACACCACCACGTACAATTATTTCTTTTATGGTTGTAATTTTATTGTTATTCTCAAACAGGTCTCTCTTGTAAATGAGACATTGAGTCTCAGTGGGACTACCTGTATAAATAAAGGATAGATTAAAAATATAAGAAAATAAATTATTATTATTTAAAGCGGGAAAACATGCAAAAAATATAAATAAATCAAAGTACAAACTACCTTTGCAATTCTTTTTCCAAATAACATTTTAGCAAAAAGTAGAAACAAGTTCAAAGGAAGATCATATTTGACTTTTTATTATGTACGTGCATGAATAAAGGATCAAAAATGAACCAAAACTTTCTACCAGCTGTCTCCCCGATTTATCTGTAATTAACTGATTTTATGTTTCAGGTACATGGGCCAGACGTGGCCGTCAAAAAGGCCAGGTGGGTCTGGTACCAGGTAGTTTCTTGAGCACTGTACGAGTTATTAATGAACGAGTACAGCATTAAACGCAATAGAGCGGAATCAGAAAATGCAACAAGATAAAAACAGTCAAGTAGGCTAAAATAGCCAAAATGTGGAACGAAGTGCTGCCCTTGATTAAATGCACTTCAATGTTCGAAAATACCAACATTGACCAGCTCATTTGAATATTTATTGTTTTCCCCCTCTGAATCTGGATGCCCCCTTTTATGTTTTCTAGATCTAAATCTGAAAAATATTGTAATGTTTAAATTTAGCTGAAATGTTTCGTCACTTCGATCTTACTCACCGGAATTCTGGAAACTTCTGAGCTGAGCTGGTTTTTCCGGGCTTTGTTATCCGTGGCGACCGTCTCTAGGCAACAAGTACACACAACGTGCGCCTAAAAGGCTTTAATAATTAAAATACCTTCATTACGTTTAGTTTTGAGTCAGATTACCAGGAAATAATCACCAGGGAACATGAGCAACTTAAATCCACTTTGCCCCAAATGACAGCCGGGGAAAATTCCTTTTAGACTTGTAAAAGCAGACTTAAGTTTAATAGACTTATTCTGCTTCGGGAAAGAGAAAAGGCTCAGTACTTATCTAAACACAATCACACAAATCCGCATAAATTATTTCAAATGTACTACTGTGGTAGTAGCACCAAACTGACACCTTTACACACCCTTCCTGTCGCATAACTATGAAGGATAAAAAGCTAAAATAGTAAAGCTAAATATTAAAGTTATGATGTAATATGAATAAAAATAATCAAATTATCTGAATAATGTGACCAATTTGAGATCATAGCGTAGCAAAACTGAAAAAAAAAAAAAAAAAAAAAAAAAATAGGGTCATATAACACTTTGAAGGTTGGAAATATATTAAAGAAAACAATTCAAAAATTTTTATTTACATATTTTTGGGGAGAGAAAGCATCTGTGTATCTATACATATATGCACGTGTAAGTATCTACATGTGTGTATATACACACACATCTTTTTTATTTATTCTGTTTATTATTAAAGCTGGACTATTTTGACAAGCACCGATTTCTGTTGTGATCTATTATATTGTAGTTAAAATCTAACAAAAAAACAAAACAAAAAAACAACCAAAATATTGTACCAGAAGTTTCATTCCAGCCCCAAAACGCTTTTCCTCGTAACCTCGATAATAAACACCACTCGGGTATAAACACTCATTTATTGTAGTATCAGAATTAGTCATGCCAGTGGTTATATTTCCATGCTGTGGTGACTTTCAGTGTAGACAAAAAAAAAAAAAAAAAAAATCTAGTTAGGTATAATCATCATCATCATCATAACTCGTATCCCCTCCCTGACCATGGCTGTTTTATGGTCATGAATCAGCAGCAATGGTTCCCAAGGTGTAAATAGTAATATAGGGAAAATAAAAAGTCACCAAAACGCAGCAGGACCGGTGGGCCAAAACCGAGGCCGGTCTCCAACCAGGACCTCACACCTGTATTCCAGTGACCTATTAAGCAGATACACAACCAAACCATGGTTTAATGCCCAACAGAGATGATTCCCCTTGAAAATCATCTCAGTGTTACTTTATCTGTACATTGCACCTAACGGGGGACACATATGAGCTCTAAATTCTTTATATAAGGACGTCATTGAACGTGGGAACCGCTTGCCAGTGCATAATCCCAATTACCTGAGCTATGTTAACACCTATATTCTCCAGTAGGCATCTATTAAGGCCTTACACTAAAAAGAAAAACCTCCATGCCCGTGATGTCAAAGCCACTCCCACTTTGACTCTACGGAAATTATAGTTTTGAATTCACTGACGATGGACGATGTGTGTGAGCTCCGTCTGGTGTGTGGAGTACCAGTGTCGAGAGGAAGAAATTAAAACAAACAAAAAAATCCACTGACAGTAAAAGTATTCTTAGTAACAGCGCTGAGCAGGATCAAAACAACCGATTTGCTCATTATTTGTTCATTTCTGGAGATGATTTCAGCTTCTATTTTTTTTAAACTTCTGTGTACACATTGTTTAAAGACTAATAAATTAAAACAAAATGGGACCATTTAGTAGCTTCAAACAAAGCATGTCCAAAAATAAAAAAACAAACCCAAAGGAAAAAGTTTGTGTGATGATAAAAACGTAAAGACGCTAAAAATAAACTTTGTGTGGCAGGTTCATAATTTAAAGTAAAAAGAAGAGTTTGGCGGCAGCGTGGCGGTGGAGTGCAGAGGTCGATTTCCTTGAAGCAGAAGTGAGAGGTTCAGTTAGCTACTCAGTTAACGGATTTCAGAGCGTTCAAGCTTTTCATGGAGCTGCAGGAGGAGGAGACGTGTTCACTTTGCAGTCCTTCGGTGTTCTTCGTGAGCCTTTTGCGTGTTTCTCTGGTCCAATTTCAGACAGAAATTGTCTCCTGTTATTTCTTCTTTTCTTTTTTTTTGCTCCTCTCCTGGTGTCGTTCAGCTGTGTGGGAGGACGCGACTCTGTGTTTGTGATCCTGCACTTGTCCAGTCCACAGTCACTGAGGTGTTGCATCTCCGTTGACTTCTATACCGTGCTGCTGCAGCTGTGCTCGAAGCAGTGCGTTGTCATTCTTTAATTCCTCAATCTGAAAACGTAAGACAGAGTATTTAATTTCATTCATCCTTGATCCTTCAAAGACTTTTTTATTAAAATGCCCCTAACTCTCTTGATTCATGCCACGTTTATGGTGTTTTAGGTGCAAACAGGAGAGCGGCGGTGCTTTTCTCTCTCACATTCATGTAAGTGTTATTTTCTATGCCCAATTTTAACCTAATGGTCACAATCGAATGCATGAACTGGAAACAAATCCGTGTTCTGTATCTTGCCCAACATGCAGGCCGGAGGAGCCAGGATTGAACCACCGCTTTTCTGTTGCCCCCGCTTTGGTGTTGAGGCAAAGAAAGTGGAACCTCAGTACTCTACCTCCACTATTAGTCAGAAATAACAGATAAAACTCATATTGAGCAGAATTTAATTCAGCTTATTGGTGCAGTCCTCTGCAGCGTTTATTTTCTGTCATGTTACAGTGCGCTCACAACGTTCAGACTGATCGAGACACTCGAGTTCAACGTTTTTCTCTACTCTTGGCACTGCACCGCTTTGTCTGTGAGGACCCAAAGCCCCCTCCACCTATGTTTGCAAAGGGTAGCAAATCAAAATATGAGATGTGTGCACAATGATGGGAAGTTAACCTGTTGTCTAAGCAGCTCGTTGTCCATCTCGACTCGCTCCACCTCTTTGTAACTGTCCTGCAGCCGCTGGTTATTCTGACGCAACTCGCGGATGTAGTCGCACGCTTTGGACAGGATGCCTCCTTTACTCTGAGGAACAAACAAATAATATAATATTTTTCTTTCTAGTCTTTCATTCCCACTGTGAGCTGACTTTTCTCCAGCGGCTGACACACTTTGTCATTGCTTCCATATAAACACTTTGTTACCTGCTGAGCTAAAAATAAAATAAATAAAGTAAACACTGTCACACTGTAGTAAAGCCTGGTGAAGGCATGAATGAAGTCAAAGAACAGGGTGAACAGGAAGTGAATGAAGGCCTGACAGAGGCAAATTTAAAAAGATCAGTGACATGAAACGGCTGCTTTCAGACTAAATGAAGTCACGTTACATACTGAGCTAATCTAACTAGCAGGAGCTTCTGTAACCATCTGTCAGCACTTACACGGTCATGCAAAATATACACGAGTTTTCAGTGAACTTCAGAGGGTTTTTTATACAACGCTCACCGCTCCGGTTCTGCTGTCGATGCTGCAGTCAGGAATGATTTTTGACAGCGTGACAATCCAGTTATTAATCTTGTCTCTTCTTCTTCTCTCCACTGTAAAGAAAATAAAAAGGATGCTCAGTTTTAGCTCTCGCAAGCTGTGGTTTCACACACACCGATCAGCCCCAACATTAAAACCACCGACTGGTGACGTCAACAACACTGAACATCTGCTGGGAAACCTCAGCTCCTACCACGCAGATCTTACTTCGATATGCGCTACCCTTCTTGTTACATGCACGATAAGTGAAACAGTTTCTGTTCTTCTTCTGTTGCTCTTCTTTTTCCAGGTATAAAGCCTCTGCCTATTGGCCCATTCAAAGTTAATCGGTATGTGTCTATTGGCTGATCTGAGCACATGAGGCCAATCACTCGCCAGTGATCGTTACAAAAGTGCAGCTCCCTCGCCAGCTGTGCCTGCTCTAATCCTTAAGTGACATTCTGGTCCAGACTCCATACCAGTTGGTGGCGGTAATGCACCAATTCGTTTGCCAACCGGCAATAAAAAAAAGAAAGAAAAGAAATAGAAGAAGAAGCTTCGCCTGCTTCCGACTCTCAGTGACCTTTGTGTTCGGTAGTTTCTGTGTGTGAGCAGCAGCAGACTCCCACAGCACGACATCACACCATCCCATGCAACAAAAACTGCTCAGAAACCACATGAGGGACACCAGAAGAACCCAAAGAGTGTATTCCCAGAACACAGAGGCTCTACACAAGAGCCCACATAAGATTCATTTAATGTTGTGGCTAACCTGTGGAGATACACACGAGCTGGAAAAAAAAATGCTGCTGGAAATGTGCACTTTGACATGTTACTGCCATTCATGTCTGTGATTAAAGAGCAATTAAAATAAAATGGCTTTCAAACTTTCATTTAAGTTTAGATCCTTCCTTCACTATTCAAATTAAATCTGGTCTTTCCTTAGGAACTTGAAGTTAAAAAGGAGTGATAGATGTGACAGCCCTGAAATATCCGTAACCTTGGCGATCACGCACCTTCATTGTGCTGTGCTCTTCGCCTCTCATCCCTGGGCGCCCGTGGACCATCTACTTTCCTGTAAAGGCACAAAGAAAAAACACAACAATTGTAAATTAACATTAAAAAAAAAATGCTAAGACACCACACTGAATGCTGATGTGCCAAAACTGTGACCCAAAAGTCTGTTAACAACAAAACGTATTGATATAAAGGAAAGCATGTTAACCAAAACCCATCTGGCTTTAGTAGAAAATTATCTTTAGTTAGGTTTAATGAGCTGTAAAGAACCCCACAAATATACCAAATGCTAGAGTCTGTGTTAACTAGACTTTCACCTCCGAAGAACAGACCCAGGTCCTTTAAGTCCTCTGAAGGGCACGCTCTTTGAGCTCAACCCTTTGAAGGATTCAGGCTCTAACCCCCCCCCAAAAAAAACAAAAAAAAACAAAAACTTGAGTACGGTTTGCTGTTGCCCTCTCTGAAGGAGAATCAGTGACAAACTAAACACCAAAGCTCAGTGGTTCCCACACACTTATTACCTGGGAGGGCTGCCCAAGTATAGTAATGGGCCCTTATTATATTTAGCCTTTCATTTTAGCATTTTTTGCAGTTAATCTTATCCTCCTCACTTTTATTTTGAAAGTCTCATCACCGCTACACCACTAGTCCTGCGTTAGCAGTGGCTAGTAGGTGGCTCGCAGGCGTGTGCTGCTCATTAGTCATTCAGATGAAGATGTCCTTCAGTGGCTCAATGTAGTCCAACCTCACCATCACAGACTGAAACTGCAAAGAGGTGGAAAACTGGGTCTGAAATCTAAATCTGTGGGAAACACTGATGCCTGAACTAAACCTGCAGCTATTAACCAAAGCCACAGGCAGACCAAACTCCAGTTTAATCCACCAAACGTCTGATTCTACGACACATGATGGGGGCAGGGTGGGGGGCGTAAGTGAAAGTTCTTCTCACCAGTCTGAACTGCCATGCTGCAACATCTCGCTTTCACCAAGGTCTCTGGGGATGGCAGGTAAGTAGGACATAGTATGTTGGATGTTTTAAATGATTTAAATGATGGTTTTTCTTTTTTTTTAGTATATATTTATTGTTTTACACACAATGACAAGACGGATCACGCCAAGAAGGAAAGCAAGAGGCAGAGTACACCCAGTCCAGTGCAGATTGGGAGGAAAAAGGTGAGATGTCGGCCAAACAGATGTGCAGAGGGATTATGGTGATTTGGTCATTTTGAGATTTTTTGGGAAGTAGCATCAATGTGCGGCGAAGCTTTAAGTTGTACTCACGCAGTGTAGGTGTGTGTGCGTGGCGCTATGGTACGTTGGGTCGCCGTCTGCAGCACCTCAGGTGGGCTCATCATCACGTAAAACTGACCTGGATTTGACGAAACACCACGAGGCGTTAGATCGACAACATGAGCCTGTTTTATTTGACAGTTAAAGAAGTGCTTCTCACCTCCCGCTTGCGTAATTGTAGGGTCGGCGGTGGCCTGCACCGACACGGCCGTGGCTGTTCCATCGCTGACTGTGGCTGCAGGGAAATAAGCGAAACGTGTCTCTCCTCCCACCGTCTCCCCGCCAGGACTTCCCCCGTTGCTGAAAGGATTCTGGATGACGGCCTGCAAAGTCGGAGAGAGAAAGTTTATACAGCTGGAATCATCTCAAATACAAATTCGATTACTTTTCCCACTGGAAAACCAAAATGCTGAAATACAGTTTTCAGAATAAGAGCTCCTTAACTCCTTAACCCATGTTTGATATACAGACTGACTCTGTGTCATCCGGTCACATCCTTGTCATGCACTTTTTCACAGACTGTGTTTTTAAAATGTCACAGGTGTTCATGGTAAAAGCCAAAAATAAATCTTAAAATAGGGTCACTACCCAAAGGTTTCCAGACCAAACCATATACACTTCTCTAAATAATTACAGCCCGTGTGAAATTTCACGTAGAAGAGGTTGACGTCATGGTGATCCAATCCCCTATTTGCATGCCCCTCAGCCTTCCTGTCAGCCACGAGCTGATAGATTAGTCAGATAAGGAAGCGGGTGTATCTGTGGCTTCCTGTACAGACTGATGGCTGCTGCGTCTTGACTGCAGTCTGTTTTTATTTTTAGAGCCTTTTGTGCATCCTGATCATCTTGCAGGGTTAACTGACCTGCGCTACTGCCTGAGGGGCTCCAGCAAATGCTGCAGTGGAGACGACGCTGACGGCTCCCGTCCCGTCAGCTGCCGCTTCTAGTTGGTCATCTGTCACCTGAACCACGCGATAGGTCACCTGCAGACAGAGGAGGGCATGAAGTCAATATGGGGGTGTTTGAATTTTGTTTTTGGTACGAGTCGACCTCACACAAGCCTGGTGATGCACATTCATCGAGTAGCCGTCACGCAGAGGTTTCATCTTATCGTTCATCTTATCATATCACAATATGTATTCTGAAGATGACAGCAGAGATCCAATCACAGCGCTGCTGGGACAGCCACCATCACTGTTCACAGCCTCTCATAAACTCTCTGATCAGAAACTCTTTGTTACCATATTTCGTGAGTTTCTTTGGTTCTGAAACTTCTCAAGTTCACTTTCAAATATTTGGGTCAAAATTTTAAAAAATAGATTTTGTTCAAAGGTGTCAGTGACCGTCTGGAGTGAAAACAACAGTCGTTGCTAATTTTGCATGTGCTTATCAATCAAATCAGTTACACTTTCACCCCACAGACCAACAGTGACACCCACGTTCAATGACCTCAGGCGGCGTGACGCCCGGATTTCGATTCGATCGCTGCCAAAGTTGAAGCTGTGGCTACAGCCTCGCTTTTAAAGAAACATAACTGGGATAGAAAGAAAATAAGATCCACAATAAATATGTCAACTGAAGAAAAAAAAATCACTGACAGAGCAACTATATCACAACTGCCCACTCACCACATATTTATTACTAAGGTCTGTCTGGCTTTGTTGTGAAGATATCCTCACATCCTTTGTGTAAAACTATGACGCCTGATCCCAGGATACTAAAATCTGTTGTCACAGCTCAGAACAGGAGTAAATTTTTCACCAACAGTAGACAGACGCTCCTGCTGCTGATGGACTGCTACCTTTAGAAATATGGCTCTGTGTCTTGCTGTTGTGTCCATCTCTGTTGTATAAGCCTGTTATACTCCCACTGTGAAATTCTGGGCTGATTTACAGATTTTTCATGTTTAAAATAACAATTTGTCTGATAGCTGACGCCAAAGAGTTTTTTACATTTTTCTCCTTTGGTTGAGGTAAACAAATAATTCTTCCTTATATAAAAATGAGCTGACATCCTTTGAAAGTTTTTCAGCTCCTGATCAACAGATCCTGAACATTTAACCAGGGCACAACTGCTGCTATCAGTTACCGTGGTTACCAGTATCTGAAGCTCTATTGTTGCATTCCAACTTGAAAATATCTGAATGGCAAATCAGCAACAGAGGAAATGCTGCCTGCAGCTCACCTGTCCGCCGCTGTTGTCTGTACGAAATTGGTACTGCACATTGTGGTCAGCAAATGCAGTCTGAGGGACACCGGTGATGGTCACTGCAGTCTGCTCGTCCGTCCCCACAGCTTCCCCTGCAACACACACACCACCACGTTTCAGACCTCGAACACTAAACAAGCGCAGGGCCGTGTAACGCAGGTGCACGCCTTTTGGCTTAACAGCAAGCCTGTTTTGTTTTTCTGCATAGGCAAAAATCTGCCACTGTCCAAACAGGTTTTGGCCTCGTCTGAACTATTGACATGTTACTTTCCAAGTGGAGCTTCGTGTACTCACAGTACTCATGTCCTCACTACCATAAAATTCATTTTCAGTCACTAAATGCCAAGAAATAACAAAAAAATATCCACGGTTTTGTTGAATTAACTATATCCAACTCAATCTTCCTTGTGTGGAGAGTCCAAAAAATGCATTCTGAACCTGGAAAAACTCTATAAAGTCTCACTTTTAAGTGTGTTTTGTTTCAGTCGTGTGGATTACAAGAACAGATGCTCCTACCTTCCTGTAGCTGCACCACCTCCTCTGTTTCCTGTTTGTCGTGACTAAAAACAAAAACAGAGCAGAGCTGAGTCAATTTCAAGTATTTCTCTGAAATAAGATCATTAACGTTTTCTGAACAAAAACCCAGCTCTCCTGAACCAACTGAGGAAATACGGCGCCCCCGGGTGGTTATATAAGGGAATAATCATTAAGATATAAATAAAATGAAACATTACTGGCGTCTAAGACTTAAAATCAGTTCATCTGCACTTAAAAGGGGGAAATGAGAATTATTTAAGACCTAGAAGTCTAGTCTAACTGCTCTGACCAGTTGCGCATGGAAAGGCAAACTTCACAAATATACATAATACTCCAAACAACGCCCTAATTTGGTTGGATTTAAGAGTTTTAAACCTTAGAGATGCTGCATCAGTTACAGTAGCAGTGAAGTGCGTTTACTTGTTAGCCTAAAGACAATCACAAACTGCAGCTGTGCACTTGTTTTTATTGTGCATTGGATAAAACAAGCGCACAGATTTGGAAACGGGCGCACAGCTAATGTGTGCAGAAATCCTCTGAGCAAAGTGCGCAGACAGTGCGGGACAACACGAAACAAATATTAAAAGTACACTGAGAAGGCAGGTTATTAACTGCACTGCGCTGCAGGGAGCAGGGGGAAAACAGAGGGGTTTATAGGCCGTGGTGGAGCCATGTCTGAGCAGGAAGCGGGCAGCAGCTTCTCACCTCGCCGAGCTGTCCAGACTTTGCTCCAGCATATCCATGAAGCTTTTGCGGGTGTAAAACGCCGATATTCAACGACACCGAATTACGGAGATGGAAGCGCTGATCACGGGGACAAACACACGGGTCATGTGAGGAAGACAGTCCAGGACACGTGAGGCGCCGACCGGGCAAGGAGCTAAAATGGAGGCCGCTGAGGAGCAGGACGGAGCTGTCTGCGTCTGTGCGGAAAAGTAGAAAAAAAAAGAAAAAAAAAAGAGTCCGGGTGTTTCCGCAGCGGTGCCGAGGCGGTGGAGGGAGGCTGAGTCCTGGATTATGATCGTTATTGTGTTATAAATTCGGATCTGAATGCACGGATTGAGGCTGGTTTGCGGTTAAATTGGTTTCTTTATGTCCTCCGTGTCCTCTGTTTGCGCACAGCTGCTGTTTGTCCGCGCAAAGCGGCTGCGACATGCGCTCCAGAAGACACGGAGTGGATTAGTTTGTTCGTTTTTTGACAGAAGGAAATGCGTCTTTTTTGCTCTAAATGTCGCTTTGTCTTTGTAAGATTTGGAGAGCTTGTATTCACGTGACTCCTGGTGTGCAAACAGTTTGGTTCGAGACGGATTTTCAAGGGATTTGTTTGGTTAATTCTCTATTAAAAGCGATTTACTCGCGAATTATTTGACTTTGGATTTAATAGCGCGGTAAATATTGTCACTGAGAGTCATTTTTTGTGCTCGTTTTTCTCTCCCAATCAATCAGTTCCTCAAAGGGATTTTTTTTTCGGGTCTCTTTTGCCCAGGTGACCACAGAGATCCAATACGGGTTTTCTCTCAAACCACATGACAAAAACTGTCTACATAACAAGGCACAGCCGAAACTCGCATGGTTTTAACACATCGGGCAGCTATGGTGACCATTTTACTTGAAATTCAGACCCAGTTTGTACATCGCTGAGCTGCTAAATGAGTGAAAAAGACAAATAAAACGGGTTCTTGTTTCTTTACAGCCAACCTTCCCATCAATTTCTGACAGTAGGAGGCGATGCTGAGTGTCAGCGGCAGGAGGCACGACGTCTTCCACGGCTGATCTGCGCAACTGAGATCAGCAGATTTTCTTTTACAGTCTATTTAATTCACAAATAAATGCACCTTTATCATACACAGAATCTCAGAAGCTGTCTATAAAATAAAGCACGAACATACTGAAGCTTGTAAGGCCTCATAAGGCCTCACAAAGCACATCACATTTATTTAAGAACATGTTTTACACATTAGGTCCCTGTTTGTTTGTTTGTTTTTTAAATACTTGGTCATTTTACACCAGATATCCATAAATCCTTTGATTGAAACAATATTCATTGCCGTTTAATTTACTTGCATAAAGGCTTTAACAGTGTGTCCAAAAGTCCAAGTTAAGTCATAATTCGTAGTGTTTAATAAAACTGTCTGCCATTTATTACATGTCAGTTTTTAGAGCCAGCACAAAGGGGAAAATGAATTTTTGCAAGCATAGCTTTAACCCTTTAAAGTCCACTATTAAAATGAACCACTTCTAGCTTGTGTTACAGGTTATATATGGGATAAAAGTGCATATGAGAAGAAAAAAAAACCCTACATACGCACTCATCGGCCACTTTATTAAGTACATCTAGTTAGTACTGGGTTGGACCCCCTTTTTCCTCCAGAACTGCCTTAAGTCTTCATGGCATAAAGTCAACAAGGTGCTGAAAACGTTCCTCAGAGATGTGGCTCCATATTGACATGATAGCTTCATAGTTTCTGCACATTTGTCAGCTGCACATTCATCCATCTCCCACATCCCAAAAGGTGGTGTACTGGAGTAAGATCTGGTGACTGTGGAGGTTATGTTATGCTGCTGGAGGCAGTCATCCTAAGATTGATACACACTGGTTATAAAAGGCTGAACATAGTAAGATTGTACATTTAAAATGTGCATTTAAAAATGCTTAATTGGTGCCAAGAGGCCAAAGCATGCCCAGAAAATATTCACCACGCAATTACACCATCACCAGCAATCTGAAAACATTTTCTCCCAGAGAAAAATACAGCTCACGGGATATTTTCAGTTTTCTAAAAACCCCAGAGATGGTTGTGCGGTAAAATCCAAATAGATCAGTAGTTTCTAGAATACTCAGACCAGGTTTGCACCATAAGGGCGTCTAAAGAAAAAGAGAAACATTTGTTGCCCATTCTGATGCTCAGTTTGAACTTCCCTAAGTTGTTTCACATTGCTTAAATGCACAGAGTTTTCATCATGCGATTGGCTGATAAGAAATTTGCATTAACAAGCAGTCAAACAAGTGTCCCTAATAAAATGACCAGTTAGTATATAATCTCCATCAGCTTGTTCATCAGTTTATGAGATTTAGTAAAATGCTTCACCCTCAGTGTCTTTGTAGTCACTCCAGCTATCCAGCCATTCATTTTCCTAGTCAAATTTTGGTCTCAGGCAAGGCAGACTGACCTGGCTGATATAAGAGAGGCGAGATGGAAGCGCCTATAGAGGAGCATGTCTGTGGTTCCGAGTGTGGGAGGAGACTGGAGCACACAGGGAGAACCTGTAAACTCCACAGAGAAACACTCCAGCCGACCAGGAGGTGAGTGCTAACATCTGCACCACTGCGTAGTCCTCTCATCCTGCCACTGAAATGTAAAGACACTGTATCATCTGTATCTGTAACACTGTATCTTGTATCTTCTCATACATATTATATGTATGATGTTTAGTGATGTTTAGTGGGCTAAAATCAGAATAATTAAAGGTCTACAAAAGAAAACCAGAGCACACTTTTGGTACTGTTTTTGTTTTATGACTTGGAATCTCTTAGTTAAGGCTGTCCAAAGAAATACATTTCTGGCCATTTAGGTATTTAAACCAAAGGCTAAGTAGTAAATTTGTGTAAGAGCTTAAGAAAAGATGTTGTGTAAATGCATCCTTACAGGATGTGAAGACTCCAGCTCTGTGGGGTTCTTCTGGGGTTAAAACTTTTGCAGAGCTTTTACAAAACAACTACAATTCAAGTCTCAGCCAACAGATCTGCTTAAAATTATCCCTTATAGGCATCACATGGCTTTGTGCAGAGAGTGACTCATTTATTCAGACTGTACACCCATTACAGTGAGACAGAGAGAGAGAGACAGAGGGAGGGAGGAACAGCCACCTAACAAGTGCCAAACTTGAGGCCAACCTCTCCTCCCATCTCATTCTTTCCTACATGGGCACTCTGATGGGTTTGCAGACAGCTCAGTTTGCAGACTGAAGAGAGAACCAAGACGAACACTGGGATCACGTAAGGAAATCTACTCCGCAAAGATCTCCAGAGATTTCTCATCCTCTAACAAACTTTAAAAAGGTAAATCGAATTTTATAAGTTAGTATCTTTTGGGCAAGGACATCACTTTAATTTTTGGGTGGAGTTGTTAACCCCACCCATGTCTTTTGATTAATTGTGCTTTGTCGTTTGTGTGCTTAATGTTAGGGGATTAAAAAGAGCCGGATGTCTTTGGAAGTAATCAATATGTTCCAGTGAATTAAGCTTTGTTTTCTTTTTAACTTTGAACTTTGAGCCAAAATGTTGCCTCATTTTTGTGTGTTTCAATGAATATTTCTTGGGCATATTTCTTTCATCTTATTTGTGACACATGTTCCACGTCGACTGTCGGATCAAACTGAAGGGTGTGCATTTGCACTTGAATAAAACCTGCTCAAATTGACTCTTTAGACTGAAATGAATATAATCATATCTGTTTTGACAGCAAAATAAGAAAGTTACAATGGCGACACCCAAAAACACTCCACGAGGTGCAAACACACCACTTTCTCCCAACCGGATCACCCGTCTCCAGGAAAAGGAGGACCTCTGCAATCTAAACGATCGACTGGCCGTCTACATCGACAAGGTCCGCTCTCTGGAGGTTGAGAACGCCGGGCTGCGTCTGCGCATCACCGAGTCGGAGACAGAGGTCAGCCGGGAGCTGACGGGTCTGAAGGCCGCCTATGAGACGGAGCTGGCAGATGCCCGCCAGACACTGGACTCGGTGGCCAAAGAGCGAGCACGGCTGCAGCTGGAGCTGGGCAAGCTGCGAGAGGACCACAAGGAGCTGAAAGCCAGGTATAATGTTTACTGTGTTTGCACGTGTCTGCAGGAGCTGCTGAGAAAAAAGATTGATTACTTTGGGTTTGTGCCCTCTCATCTTGGGTCCCTAAATTCCTTAAACTCACCCCTGTGTGTTTGATCGATGTGGGTGGTTTTTTTTTTGTTGTTTTTTTATAGCTATAGTGGGAGTGTGTAACTTTACAAGACAAAATAGTAACAACAAGATGAAATCATGAGCTGCAGAATTCACCCTTACTCATTCCTTACACTCAGGGGCTGTCACGGCACGATTTAATGTGGTATGACCTTTAGCTTCCAGTATCTAATTTCAGCAAGTCTTAGGAGTTTCTTGTCACTCTGCTGACTTCATAACTCATTTCTGTTTGTGTTATATTTACATTAGCAGTTACTATTATCCCATAATTATCACCTGTCCCACAGTGTCTGCTGTTCAGCTAAAGTTACACGGTACAGCTTTGAAGTCAGGATTGCCAAACTCTTCTCAGAAAGAACTCTGCTGCAGAGTGTCTGGTGATCATGAGATGTCTCGCTGCTGCGAGGCATCTAAAATCCCCCTTTTCAATTGAAGGCATCTATTTGAAGGCATCTATTTGTCCCTTAATACAAATGTGAAAGGGTTTGGACTTCAGTGTTGATACATATTAAGCAGCAGTTACTCATAATCTTTTAATAACTGATGTTTTAACTTGGTGATGCACTGAGAGTTGTGTTACCCTGCCGCTGGGACCACTCCCTATAGCTGTAGCATATTCTCCTCATTGCTCACTGGGCAAGAGCTGGAGCGGGACTCCAGCTCTTTCCCATGCTTCCACATCCAGAGACTGATGACTAACTCTTTCCCCAGCTTCTCCTCCTTCACCAAAGTCATCATTATACACAATACGTGGCAGTGTTTAAAGAGCTCCACTCTTGCCTGGATTATTTTTCCGTAAATAATAAAACGACGGCCACAGTGTGTTTGGCAAAGCCATACCGTTGCCATGGCAATATCTCAGCTAAAAACCAACGGCTGTGGCTTGTGGCTACCAGATCCACGGGACTTGATGAAAATCACTGTGGTCTATGACTCATATGCACCGAGGTCTTTCCCCTGCTTCTGCTTCTTGTAGACATCCTCATTCAAAAATAGCTCATATTTGTTTGATTAGAGTGTGTAAAGGAAACTATAGTAATTCAGTTTTAGGTCTTAGGTCACTAAAACAAATGCAGTAAGATGCTTAAACTCTTAAACTATGGATTCTCAAAGCATGAATGAATTGAGTGTCATTTGAGTAAAACGAGAGAAAATGTACACATTGAAAGTCTCAGTGGCATTTGTATAGTGGTTTAAGGTTTTGTTCAAGTATTGTTGCTATGGTGACTAATGGAGATAAACATGAATGAGAAATCCTCCCTTGATCTCACTCAAAGCTGTCATAGAAAATGTAAAGTAGTGCGTTCTTTCATTCATGCTTGCACTAAAAATGAACAAAAGCTGCACTTTGAGAACTTAAAGTGGAACTTAGTCCCCATTTTTGTTTTCATAGGAACACTAAAAAAGAGTCAGAACTGGGGGGAGCCTTGCAGAGGCTCAAAGACCTGGAGGCTCTGCTTAATTCGAAGGATGCTTCCTTGACTACGGCTCTGGGAGAAAAGCGTAACCTCGAGGTGGAAAACAGGGACCTGAAGGCGCAGGTTGCCAAGGTAAAGTCAAACCCACGCTCAATTTAAAACTCAATAGAAACACATCTGGGCTCAATCTTTCTGCAGTCAGTCTACAAGCTCAGAACCTCTCTGTTTGTCCTTCATAATCCTCTTCTCTTTCTTCCAAGTTTTGTTAGTAAATGTCAGCTAATTCAGATTTCAGCAGGGGTTGAAGGACAGCCTCTCTGCATGTTTTCCTGCCCGCATACTCCACTGACTGCTTATTTTCCACTCCGCAGCATTACTTTGTACTCATACTCGGCCCATTTTGTGCTTCTTTTTTAGTTGGATACCAGCTTGGCCGATGCCAAGAAGCAGCTGCAGGATGAGATGCTGAGGAGGGTGGATGGAGAGAATCGCATCCAGACTCTGAAAGAGGAGCTGGAATTTCAGAAGAACCTCCACTCTGAGGTCTGAGCGCTTTTTGCATATGTTCTTATCATTAGTTAATCATTTTAAAAAGTACCCATGCTGGACTTTACTGATAATCATTGCTGGTAAATTTTCAATAGGAGCTGCGGGAGATAAAGAGGCGTCATGAGTCCCGCGTGGTTGAACTGGATAATGGCCACCAGCAGGAGTTTGAATGCAAACTGGCCGAGGCACTGGCGGATATGCGCAACCAGCATGAGCTGCAGATTAAAATGTACAAGGATGAGATCGAGAAGACCTACAACACCAAGGTAGACCATCAAGTTACTGTTACTAAAGGTTTACTTTGCAGCATTTATATCTTCTGTTTTGGTCCTCAGTGGTGAAAGAAAGCTGCACTGAATAATTGCGCAGCAGAAATATCCAGTTAAAACATCGTGACATGGTTGTGTAGTTCCGAGTTGTTGGGGTTTTGCAGTTTCACAAATGTCTTGTAGAATTTGGTTACAGTCCATGTTTTATCTCCCTCCATCAGCTGGAGAGTGCTCGTCAGTCAGCAGACAGGAGCAGCCACCTGGTTGGGGCAGCACACGAGGAGCTCCAGCAGATCCGAGTACGCCTGGAGTCCACGTCGACTCAGCTCAGCCAGCTACAGAAACAGGTTCTTACAAATAATCAGCACACACTTATCTGCAAGCATACATCACTTAAAGAAAAGGGTGATATTTTTCATATTTCAGAGCAGGGGTGCAAAACATAAGACACAATCGACCCGCCAAAGCTGTAGAAAATGTAAAGAAGCGCATAGATTTTGAATTTTTAACTGCAGTTTCATAGGTTTTACAGATGTTCCTGATAATAAAGATTGCCCACTTTCATGCTAAATCAAAGTAATTAAGCAACTAAATGACAAGAAAGTTTGTTTTTCAAATATTGAGTCCATAGTAAAAAGAACAACAAAAACTTTATATTTTATCATTTCAGAACAGTCTGTGGAAAGAAGTAACATAAATTATTCTGTAGTTTTGCGTATTTATCATGTAGTTTCACTGGTCCGGCCAATTCAATATCACTTAAGATCAAAGTGGGGTGTATGTGACTCACTATGTAAAATCAGTTTGACATCCATGTTTTAAAGTAAAAACAGACCCCACAGAAATCAATTTAATTTAAAACAGAAGTTGTTTTTATAGATTCACATGAATTAGGCTCTTCAAATTGATGCTGGCTGTAAACTCCATTTATTTGTTTAAAAGTTCAGTTTTTCATGGTTTCTCTAGATTTCCTTTGTTTTTTGAGCTCAATTATTAACTCACTCCTTGATTGCTCTTGAGGTCTCCAGACTTGCTTGTTTGATCCTATCAGGCAGTAACTTTGTGACTCTTTGGTTTGATCCAGCTGGCAGCTCGTGAGGCAAAGATCAGGGACCTTGAGGATGCTCTGTCGCGGGAGCGGGACAGCACGCGTCGCCTTCTGGGTGAGAAGGATCGAGAGATGGCAGAGATGAGGCACCAGATGCAGCAGCAGCTCGATGAGTATCAGGAACTCCTCGATGTTAAGCTGGCCCTGGACATGGAGATATGCGCCTACAGGAAGCTGCTGGAGGGAGAAGAGCAAAGGTATGTGTAACGACGCTCATCGTTTCCTCTGTGTGGTTCATAAACTTTTTCATTTATCTCATCATCGTCATCAACATGTTTCTCTCTGCAGACTGCGTCTTTCGCCCAGCCCTCCTCCTACCAGGGCGGCGGGAAGTCGATCCTCTACTTCTGGAGCTCTCTCTCGATCTATCCACCACAGCGCTCAGAACTCCCCTGCTAAGAGACGTCGCCCTAACGACACCGACAGCGAGGCCTCCAGCTTCGCCGGTGGAGCCGTTTCCCGCACTCGCATCACCCAGCAGGCTTCGGCCAGTGGACGTGTCACTGTGGACGAGGTGGATCTGGATGGGAAATATGTCAGACTCAGCAACAAAGCTGATGAGGTGAGATGGAGAAGTCGGAGGTGGACTACATTACTATTTGTAATGTAGTGACTTTGAACTCTGACGTTTTTACCCAACTACCCTCTTGCTCTTGTAGGATCAGAATCTGGGGAACTGGCAGGTGAAGCGGCAGGTGGGATCTGGCACTCCCATCGCCTTCAAGTTCCCAGCTAAATTCACCTTGAAGGCTGGTCAGAGGGTGACGGTTAGTAGCGTCTTTATTCAGCAATCAGAATCACCAATCAACACCTGATTAGCACAGATGATTTACTCTGTACTCTCCATGTGATCAGATCTGGGCCTCTAATTCTGGTGGAACTCATAATCCTCCATCTGACCTGGTGTGGAAGAATCAGCCCTCCTGGGGCACCGGAGACCTCTTCCAGACTACTTTGATCAGCACTAATGGAGAGGTATTTTGAATTAAATCAGCTTATTCGGCTTGATAGACATTTCATTCAGACCTAAAGTGTCAAGACATCAAAACTCATGGCCAGTATATTTAAAATATACCAAAACTGAATGAATAAATAAGAACTACAACACTTTTCTTTCAGGAAATGGCAATGAGGAAGGTCACCCGCACTCAGCTTGAAGAAGAAGATGATGACATGGTGAGAGAAATGATAGTTTTCCTAGCATGTGCATAATGAGATCATGTGCAGGACCAGAATCCAATTAGCAGCATCCACTGGTTTTGCATTGAATTAAAATAAGAATCACATTAATTCAGATATTAACATTTCAAATGGATCCGTATCACTGTGTGGGGGCGGTAACATTGAAACTGAGCATTACGTGTTGCATGATAAGGTGATGGTTGGTAAGTAAAATAAAGATATTTAAAAGGATATATGTGTTTTTAGTTAGGTGAAGCAAGGACACATGTTCGTGTGCAAATGAAGAAATACAGCAAAATGTCACACAGTTGCAGCTCCCAATGGATATTTTACATTCTTACTAGAAAAATGATTATCAGTAGTGTCAAAAGAATAGTTGCAAACACACATATTTCATCAACTGTTTACGCAACTCAATGTTAACTGTTAAAAGAGACAATTAAAAAAAAAAAAAAAAAACAGTTCACTTATTGTTTTTAGGCTCTTGTTCATTGTATCAGGGCTACAAAAATACAGGAGACAAAGGCGGGTTTAATAACAAAAGCTGTTACAAAACCAGTCCTCCCATAGATACAGACTATTTACACACACAGGACTGAGTAGATGCTCGTTAAACAAATAAGGGTGGGGAAGGCAGTCACAAAGGAGGGTCAGAGGTGGGGGGAAGAGACAAAGACAGGAAGTCAATCCCAAGAGACACAAAGAAAAGCACATACCAAAATAAGACAGGAAATGGAAACAAGAAAGACAAAACAGATACCAAGACATTAGGAAAATATCAGTGAGAAGAAATAAAAATTAAATAAGCACAGACACCACGACACATACTTGACCTTTATTACCACTGCAGTTTTTTTTTTTTTTTTAACACACACTAATTAAAAGCTGTGTCTGTGCCTCAGCAGGTGGCTCACAGCACCTGTGGGGACGGCGAGTACAACCTGCGGAGCCGGACGGTCGTGTGCGGCTCATGCGGACTTCCTTCAGATAAATCCAGCAACTGCTCCGTGTCCTCTGCTTCCCGCTCCTTCCGCAGCGGAGGCATCTCCGAGGGTTTACTGCCCCACTCCTACGTGTTCAGCACGAGCACACCTCGCAAGGTGAGTACCGCAGCTCATACAGGAGATATATGACTTCCCTTTCATGCAAAGATTACCTCTTTTTTGTCTATTAATATGCATGTGTGATCATTCTAATTTTGTCAAAATTTCTTCCTAGACTGGAGGCAGAATGGAGAGCTGTCCAATCATGTGAAGCCCTGGGGCCACTACACTACATTTTCTATAGCTTCTTAGGTATCAGTTGTTGAGTTATCTGGTATGGTTTTTAGTTCAGTTTATGTACTTCCAATTTAATTTCAAGTTATTGAATGCCAGAAAATTTTATACTGCTTTTTATAATGTACATATGCATGAATAAGAATAATTTTCCAGAGCTTAAAGGTTAATTGGGGTTAGCTTTGTTGTTGTTTTTTATATTAGGGACATTAAGGTTGGAAAATGTAAAACAGTTACTTTAACATTCATTCGTTTTAAAAACTTAATTCAAATTAATTTCATTATACTCTATAGACACTCTGACACAGCAGGGTTGTGATCAGTTTACCAAAATTACCACATCACATGTGCTGTACCAATGTACCTGCACATGTGATGTGACAATAAAAGTGATTTGATTTGATTTGATTTGATTTGAAAAAATTTAAAACTTCTTTTGAAAACTTTTTTTTTCTCATTAAAGCTTCTTACACAGGGAAGGTAAAATGAACCCAACCTTGCTACAGATCTACAGAATATTGTCGGGCTTTTTTATTAAAATGAATAAACGTGTTTTCAGAAACCTGCCTTTTATCTGTGTCTTTCTATTTACTCAGTTTCTTACAATATTTACTGCCTCACCATAGAATCTAATAGGACACAGTCAGGTGTTGCGATATAGTTCACCTGTTTGAACAGGCGACCGGTATGCCAAAGGCTAGTATCCCCTCCCTGCTTTGTTCTGAGGCCAAGAGCTTTATTGATTTAATAAAAGTCAATAATTAAAAAAAAAAATTCTAGTTTCATTCAAATGAAGAAAAATATGACATTTATATTCAGGTTCAAAATTACATGATAACAATAATATAAAAGAACAGATTATAACTGTTTAGTATTCATACCCGTCCACGGTACTATAAAACTATAAGGTGCATTTATTTCACCACCTCTTGAACTTTACTTGAGTATTTCATTTATGTTTTTTGTACCTTTGCTCCACTATTTAGAAGGAATTCCTGCCTCTTGAAATTACAAAAAATAAATAAAGATTTTCAAAATCAAATCGTTCATATATATAATGAACATTCCAAATCATAAATGAAGTTTCTGCTCATAGGCCTTCTGTTTTTATAAAGAATTATTTACTGGAATAACTTTAATGGAAATTTTTTGAACATTTGTGCTTTACTAGTTATATTTAAATTAAAGATATAAAAAAGAATGTATAAAATAGGCTTATATCGTGTGTCACGTGGGCCTGATTCTATATAGCTGGCATATAGTGGAGGGATTCTATTTCTATTAATAACTCCATTATGCTGCCTTTTCATTTATATATAAGTACGGGTTAAGCATATTTTCTCATTTTAATTAGAAAAGTGGGTCTTTTACAGCAGTCTCTCCGCCTAAGAACAGGCTTTTATTTTGGAATCCCGGTTTTCAGGTCGCTTTCAAACCCGGAAGTAGCCTACAAGGTCAGGGTGCAAGTGTTGCTCTTGCACAGCGTCAAAGCTCCAAAACTAAGAGCTTTGTGGTTTAAAAGGACAAAACTGCATGTGAAGCTGTCTGCAAGAAAAAGGGTGTTAAAATTTGGTGAGTGTCGCTAATGTTTTGACACGAAGTGGCGCAAATGCTAAACGTTAGCTAGCAAGTCAGAGCTAGATAACAGTGAAGTGGACATGAGAGTGCTCCTACTGTAGCCCTGCGATATTAATGTGTACACAGTAATATCCACATAACCGTGTAATGCAGATAAAATAAAATAAAAATACAAATGCTAATAAACATTTACAAATATTAGTCGCGTTGATCTGAACATAAATCGAACTGGATGTTAGCAAGTGAAATCTGTTTCACTTCAGTGTTCATGGTTCAGACACTTTTTATTTCTGTGCAGTCATGTGGATTAATAAGTACACCCTGACTGCTTTCATTGTAATTAAGAGGGTATGTAGCAGTAAGGTGCTGCTAATCAAATGCACGATTAATTGATCATCAGCACCTGTGAGCACCTCTGTAAAAGCAGAAGTTTAGGCACTTTTGCTGGTCTGCAACATTCAGGTGTGTCAACACAGTACCACAGACTTCCCAGCAAATTCACCAAAAGATCGAACTGTGCAATGTTGATACTCTACAGGCTTCACTTAAATGTTAAAGCTCATGACAGTACAGTTAGAGAAAGACCAAACAAGTCTGGCTCGTTTGGAAGGAGTGTTTTGCAGACACAGGATGTGGTCACCTTACAGTCACCAGGTTGACTGTCTACACCAGTTCATATTTGATTCAACTGTTCTTTAATCTGTCTGACAGCTAAAGCCTGACCCAAATTCAGTCATGCAACAGGACAGTGATGTCTAGCACAGCAGCAAATTGGTGAAAAAGAAAAGAATCAAGGTGTTACAATGGCCAGGTGAAAGACCTCAGCATGATTAAAATGCAGCAGGCTCTTAAGAAAGCTGTGCATTAATAAACACCTGCAAACCTCAAGGAACCGAAGCAATGTTATAAAGAAGAGTAGGACAAAATTCCCCCTTAGTGATGTTAGAGGCTGATAGACTCATACAGGAAATGATTGCTGCTGAATCATGGGCTGTAATTAGTTTTTCACAGGATTGCAGAGATTCCTGTGATAATGTTCCTTTTCACATAATTTTAGCGATACAGATAATAGTTTTCTCTGTATTGATTATTAGTGTATTTACATAAAATAAGTGACTTGTAATCTATTTACATTGGTTTTTATTATTGTTATTTTATTTTTTTAATGCTGCAGTGGTCTAATTCAAGATGATTTTCTCCTGTGGGAGGAAATAAAGCAGTCAGATCTGTAAATATTACTGCACTTAGATAATTTTTTTTGTTTTGATGGTTACACAGAAAATACACTCAGTTTATCTTTACTGTATTAGTTTTGTAATAACACAGTATCATTTTAGTTCATTTTTGTTGTGGAATTTTGTTTTTTAAATGCCTAGTATGGGTTTTTTATTTAGTTTTAATCAACCATGTTCTGGTGTTGCACAGACTGTGTGAGAGTGGGGTGTCTCACCTCTTTCTTTAACGCATACTAAGCAGCAACGCAGACGAAGGGAATGACTGATTAAAAATGCATTTTCTAAGTTTGCAGTCTGCAGGTGTGAGCAAATAAAAGCAAGGAAACAGCGAAAGGAGTGAAACCTGCGTCATCAGCAGACTGAACATTGCTCACTGTGGTCTTTTCTTAAATTTCCTCAGGAGCTTGTATCATCTGGATGTTGAGCGTCCGAGCTCTGTTTGGAATCGGCTTCCTGGTGACCTCACGAGCCGCGACAGCCCTCGCTCAGGCAGGGACATGCCCGTTGCCCGCTGCAGCTAACAGCCACAGAAAGGACTGTTTCAGCAGCACACCGGCATCCACCATGGCCCAGGCCATCAAATATCTCGGGTGAAGGTTTTAACCTTTTCACACATAAGAGTAAAACCAGACTTCATGAGTCTAGACTGACCTGTAAATACTTCACAGGCAGGAGGAGGCCCAGCACATCGACGAGGAGCTCTTCAGTGAGTACGGCTTCAGTGTGGATCAGCTGATGGAGCTGGCTGGACTCAGCTGTGCCACAGCCGTCACACGGGTGAGCGTCACCGCGGGCTCTTATTTTTGAAATGCAAATCTAACGGGAGGAATATTAGTCACTGGACTGGCAACAAACTCTTTTATAATGTAAAATAATTGTTTCAGGAACTAATGTGAGACCTCTACCTATTCCAGCTGCTCAAAAATGAGTTTGGTGTCTTTAGGGTTTGAAAAAAGAAACGAGGGTCGAAAGTGGGGTGTAGAAATATTTTCACTTTTTTCTTCTATTCTATGGTTGAGCCACTTAATCCAGTTACAAAAATAAAAGTTTAAACATTGATGTAAATAGACAGCTACCAACCAGTTACGCAAAAATCGTGTGATGAATTTCCCCAAAAACTCTGATCTAATCTTACTCGTCAGCCTTTATTTTTCTGTAATCAGACTAAAGTAACATTACACTTGATGACGTTATAGTAATGTTGAAACAGTCGTCTTTTTGCACAATCAAAGTCTGAAATGTTTTCACTGCACTTCTAAGTTTGCTGTTGTGGAATTGAGATGCACTTGATACAGCTGCATTTTGCTCGAAGGTGCAGGAAGAAGCTTTACTTGGTTTGCCACAGAACGGGCCCTTAACCTCCTAAGACCCGAACTCTTCCATGACATGCATTTTTAATTTCTCTTTGATATTTGGGCTGATTGGGACCCGATGAATGTAAAAACAAAGAATTGCCTTTTTTTTTTTTTTTTTTTAACCTGATTTTTGTTTCTGAGAAAAATTTGAGCCACATATGAGGATATTCGTCTAAAATTCCGATTGAACAGTGGCAGTATAATGTCCTCGTAAGTGGATATCAGGCCCTTGTAGAGCAAAATTTAGTATTTTGGTCTAAACAACCCAAAATGTGATGTCCACATATGTGGACGCCTGGTCCTAGGAGGTTAAATATATCAAAGTTTATTTTGCTTTCTTTTTTTCCTTCAGGCATATCCACTTACTTCTCTGGTGAAGGCCAGACCTTCTCTGCTAGTGATTTGTGGACCAGGTAACAACGGGGGCGATGGCCTGGTCTGTGCCCGGCATCTGAAACTCTTTGTGAGTGTCTCTCAATTTCACAGAAGAGGAAAATAAACCATTTATTTTCACATCCTCGTTCAGCCTTAAAATCCTAAATTCCTTTTTCCTTCGTTAGTACTTTGTGTGTCTGATTTCAGGGTTACGAGCCGACCATCCTGTACCCAAAGAGGCCAAACAAGCCGCTGTTCCAAGGCCTAACCACACAGTGCCAGAAAATGGAGATCCCCTTCCTGACTGAGATGCCTGAGGTTTGGTGTTAATAAAATATGTAGCTGCAGCTTTATCCACAGTAAACACACAGACACACTGCTTATTGTTTTCTGACTGTGCATTTTGTATGAAGCTGTACAAATGCTCTGTTACACATGAACAGAGCTAATGTAATTAGGCTCCAGTTTAAATTAGCTGTCTAAATGATACTGAGGGGATAAAAGCTCTGTTTTTATTACAGCAAACTAGATGGTGAATAATTTCATTGGTAGCTAAGAGGAGCTTTAGTTGATGGATTTACTCACTGAAATAAATGTGCTTTCAAGCTATTGACTAATTTCTTTGAAACTAACTTATCTGGGTAAAACTGTCTCCTCAGGCCAAAGCGATTGATGAAGCATACAACCTGGTGATAGACGCCATCTTTGGCTTCAGCTTCAAGGGAGCTGTGCGAGAGCCCTTTGGCTCCATCTTGGACACACTGAAAAAGTCCACAGTGCCCATAGCCAGCATCGACATCCCCTCAGGTCAGTCCTCACCTGTCCTTGGGTGACATTACTTTGTGAAGTAACTGGTTACAATACAAAATTACTGCCATTAAAAAGTAATCAATAAGGCATGCACCAGTATAGTGGGGCAGGGGTTAGCACATCACCATGAAGATGTGAATGTGAAGTGCTGTTTTTCTTTGTTAGCCATGCTGACAGACTGCTAACCCTTCAACGATATAACTCGCCTC